CGACATTAGCTAGTGAGTATTAGCTAGTAAACAGAAATTGAACATTCGCTAGCGGAACATTTAGCATTTAAGAAACAACTATTTTCTTGGACCCGCCACTGCAGCTTGAATGGAGGCATCTCACTTGGATTTTGTTACTTTACTACACCTAGCCAGGGGCGGAATGGGACTAAAATTCAGCCCTGGAAACTGACCCAGTCCGGCCACATGAAATGTCAAATGTTAGAAATCCACTGTTTATTATTTAAAGTTTTACGTCCGATTCACTCCTTTTTTCCTCTCTGTACACAGCTCCAGTTTGGGCATTGGCCTGTCGTAAGATTTCATTTTTAGTTGCTGCTGTAGCGGAAGTTTAGTACAATTATTTGTTATGAAATACTCCAAATCTCCACCCTCCATAATTGCATTTGCTTCAGTTGCTTGCTACTTTTTAAGGGCGGTGATACAGTACGAACTGAAGTTGATGCGATTTGATTGGATTGTGAGGCATGAAGTGAGCCTCATCTGATTGGTCAATCCCTCCATTTTTTTTCACCAAGGGAAGCCAATTTCGGCTAGCCTCCTCTCGCAACAGAGTGCAATCTACTGTTTCACCATAACATCTAGAGGGGCGCTGTTTCACTCTTTGTAAAATACTCAATGAGAATGGGGGAAAGATGGGCCGGCAGAATAATTACCGAAAGTAAACTAAGTGTTTTTATTTATTTATTAAAATTATAACTACAATCCAAAATTCAGGGGAAACCAGGCCCTTTGCCTCCAGGAGAAAACGCCACTGAGTTCAAGGGATAATTCTCACCCACCTCTTGCTCTTGCCCTGCACGTGTGCCAGTTGAGATGGTTCTTCCAGCAGCTCAACTCTCTACCCTCATCATGAACGCAAGAGGCTGGCTGTATATCTGAACTTGCACCCTCATCATTCTCTTCATCATCTTGCACGTGTTCTAAGCTGCTGCTGATGATAGTGCTTGGAGCAGCACTGCTGCCAAAAAGGTCTGTCAATTTGCGACATTTATATGCTTCACCTGCGAGTGACTTCACCTTTTATTCTCTTGCCTTCTCGGCCCACCTTTTTCGTTTTCGTTTTCTTTGATTTGTATCCATGTTTTTTCATTCTCCCTGTTTGCCGCGGCGTCTAATCCCTTCTCTTCGTGTGGCCGGTATTTTTTCTTCTTTGTGTGTGATTATTTGACAGATAAGAACCACACAACTGCATTAGCGGCCGCTGTCGCCCTCTGTCGGCCGTCAGCGCAACTTAAATTATGACGTTAAACCATTTTTTTTTAAAAGGGCCGTCAACGGCCCTTGACGACCGGCCGTTCTGTGGTTCTCCAGATTCTACAGATGGCCAGTCCGCCCCTGCACCTAGCTAACACATTTTCATCATAGTTATCATTAGGAAGATTGCCTTCAACCTTGGGAGTTCATATTTTCTCCCAAAACTTGAACAAGTCCCTACGTTACTGAGGTGTCAGGGCCTCCCATCATTTAACCTTAGGTTAGAGCTCAGAATGAACACACAACACCGACACAAACCAATCGTCCGCCATTACACTTTCACCTTTAATCAGCTTTGTTGCCCACCACTTTCTTCAGCTGGTATAAAAAAATACTAAAACAGAAAAAATAGAAAAAGACAATAGACTCCAAACTATTGAATATAATACCCCAACGAGTCAACCCAGTCTCACGGCATTTCGTGTAATAGTCACGAAATTAATTGAATCTATTGATTCGTGTTCACCAACACGATCTTCCCATTTTTTTTGTGTCACACAGAACGATTTTAAAAGCAATGTATTTCTATTGGTAGTGTGTTTTGTGCCTGCACCACGTCTTTTTGTCCGGTCGGGTCTTCTTACTCAATATCAAGCCACGATTATTGTTTTTATTTTTAAATTGTATAATGTCGGACTTTTTTTGCCATCCACGAGGAAAATAAATGGGGCTCAGAGCCTCAGAATACTGAAATTTGTATTTTTTAAATATTTTTTTCCTTCTAATTTGTTATTATTTGGTGCAGGCACGAAACATACTACCAATAGAAATACATTGCTTCTAAAATCGTTCTGTCAGAATACTGAAATCTGTATTTTTTCAAATCTGTTTTTCCTTCTAATTTGTTATTATTTACATTGCTTTTAAAATTGTTCTGTGTGACACGAAAAAAATGGGGAAATCGTGTTGGTGAACACGAATCAATAGATTAATTTCGTGACTATAACAAGAAATGCCATCGTGTGGACACTTCAGATCTCTCCATGCTTGATTATGAATGTTTTGGCAGTATTCAGATTGTGTAATTAAATTTAAAAGGAAAGGTTCAGAATACATATTTACATTGGCTACTACTGTGCTTGTAACAGCGTGTTTACCCTAAAAGCAGATTCTCTGGGAAATGGTGGCAACTTTCTGTTACTCACCATAGATTGTAGAGTATATACATGACTTCTTACCAATAACTGAAATGTAATCCCTCTGGACCCATATCTGAGAAGTCATCCTTTAAAAAAAACATAAATTGAAAAAAGCACAGATACGTATATTAGTCATTATTTTCACAATGACTCATACAAAGAGTGTCATAGCAGCCAGGTGACATGTAGACTCATACTGCATGTGAAAATGACAGAACAACTAATACGGTCACATAATAAGCAGTTTTATACTCCTGAAACCTTGTGTGTTTATCCTTTGTTACCACTCAGCACAGTGTTATCCGAGAAATACCAAATTGGCACATTTGTTTTGAAAAAACTAACACAAGAGATGTCCAAATATACACAAACATCCGTGTTGAAATGTAATAAAATCCTCTCTGGTGCCATGTAACGGTTGTAAACATTTTTCTCCGTGCAGACCATGGAAATCAAACAGTGTCTGTAAACCTAAACTCTTTCTGTAATGCATGTTTTTATTGAGACAAACAGGCTTCTTCATTTCCCATACACATCCCTAAAAGTAATATACAGCACAGTTTGGTAGTTGTCTCCTATTGACTGATGACTACATGGGCACAACCATAATCCATATGTTCCCAGTACAGTATATTATAGTTCTGGAGTCCTGCCATTGTTTTTTAAAGTTTGAGGTGATGGTAGTGGCCTACCACTCAATACAGCTGTTCACACCAAAGAAACATTTCTGCAGTTTTAGTATCTACATGTGTCTCAATGGTTACTGACTGATCACTGCTCTTTAAAAAGTTCCAGCTCCTGTTTGACACCATGGCCTGTAACAGATTGGGAGTTAAAGGATCATTTATAGATGATGCTGTAATGTCATTATTATGAGTTATAATGTTTTAAGTGCACTGTTGTCCGACCAGCAACTGAAGCAGTGTGGGGATAAAGTAACGTAAGGACTGGTGAGGGAGAAGAACTCTGAAGGTGTGTTTAGACTGAATGAGAAGCACATTTTTAGCCTTGTGCTATTTGTGCAATGTTGAATGCTGGACTATGTGCACAGTTTGTTTATTTGCCTCAAAAAGCTATTAGTTCATAGCTGACAACCGCTAGCTGTAACTTGCTAGCAACATAAGTACAAGATATGACTTCTAGCCCAGTTATTCCTTGTTTTTTAACAAATCTTTCTCCTATTTTGAGTATATTTGTAGTTAGTTTATGAGTTAGAACCATAAAGCCTTACATTCAGTCTGAACACACCTGAAGTTATGTGGCATTGTAGTAATACATTTCATCTATTAATGTACTTGCTATGATGTTTATGTATTTATTACCTTTTGGTTGTCTTCATCTCTGTGACTGTTTACATTTTTTGTGTACCTAAACTTGGCATATTGTCAAAAATGTCCCCAAGATGTTTCTGTATTAAGATGTTTTGCAGTTGCGTCACAATGTTATCATGCCCTTCCATTCGACAGCTGGCTGCGCTCAAACCGAAAACCTGCCTGGATACTGTATGTTGGCCTATGATCAAATCAGACAAGACGAGGGCCGTTTCTCAATCGCGAGGATGCCGGCTTGGTAGTCGTGTACTTCCAAGTCACTTCCTTCAGAAACAAAGCCAGTATGCTTCCAAGCCACGGCTTCGGAAAACGAAGAAGAATGGAACAGATTAACAAGTGTGCCACTCTCTCTAACGGTTTCAACATAAACTGTACCGAAAGTAAATACCTCACGATGTCTATCTAATTATGAACTTGCTTTACTTTCACGGAACACATTTTTGGTGATAACAAACAAATGTAACAAAGTAACATATTTACCAACACATGTTCTACGCCACTACATACTTACATTTAAATGTGTGCTGCGTCAGTTCAGCCATTCTCCGCAAGGGTTTTTGAAATTGGTCCGTGCGCAAAGCATTGTGGGGATTTTAAGGACGCGAAGTCTACCCATGTGCAGCCTCGAAATTTCCCCCAAACCAAGGACGCGGCCTCGGTGGAATTCCAAGTATGCTGGAGATTGGAACAGTCCTTCGGCGGCACTCGATGACGTAGTATCCTTGAAATATTGGCTTGGAAGCCAGTATCCTCGAGATTGAGAAACGGCCAGTGATTGCTTGCTAACCAGATAGCTACATTGGTTTGACAGCTAAAGCTAGTTAAACGATATCGATTCTCTCAAAGATATCCAAGTCAAATGTTGTCATTTGAGAAGTTTCAATATGGCTGCCAGAGGGTATTTGACATCACCTGAAGACCCCCTGTACATAATGTGTGCCTTTGAATGTTTCTGTGAATCCCTTTATGTGTATTCATCGGTAGAGTGAATTCTCACATGCACGTACAGTATGTCACACTGGTATACAGTAACTGTGTGTTTCAGGGCAAAATGCTTCTTGACTCATCAAGCAGCCAGACTCAAGCAAGCAAGTGTATCAAGACTCTATATTAATGTTGTAAACTGATACCGTTTGCCATCATGCATCCGCAAAGCCTCAGTTCCTGTTATTACACCAACAATTCTGGTCTATCTGTACCAGTCATGGCTAAAAAACTATCTAAAACCATTGAAAGGCATCCATCAAATAACTTTTTCTCCAATTTGATGTCTCTTTATACAATACCTCTTTTTAGAAACATACCATATAGTATTAAACAGGCATTTAAACTCCCTATAAAAGTGGTGTAGCGACAATAGAAATTGTATCTTATTATTTTTCTCCCTTTTAGAAAGACTAGTTTTGTTTTTTAGAAAAAAAGACACTTGTTGAGGTTCCTGGGAATGAGGGGGGAGTAGCAGGATGAATGACCGACAGCCATTCAGGAAGGAGCACGACACAAGGACACACACGGTCAGTGTAAAGGCCAGTCATAGCTGTACGCTTCTCTCCTATCACTTATATTATGTGTGTTTTTCTTTTATACACAGTCACTAAAGTATATCCAACTGTCCCTGAAGGAAGAATCATAAAAAAAAAGAATCATAATCATAACTACGGCTAAACAGATCCCATAAAAGAAGTGGGTTTAAATTGGCTACATAAAACAATTCACGCTAAATAAAACCCTATGGATTCAGTTCAGTGTTGGAGGAGAAGAGTGTGGAATATTCAACAGTCAAAATGTCACATTGTGTTTGTGTTTTATCTACTGAATGTAGTATGTGTGTGGGTGGTTTACCCAGGAAGATAACAAATCTTTCTGGCTTTCCAAACTGAACTCCCCTGCTTATCTCTCCCCTCCAGAGTCTTTCTCTTTGAAATCACTCCTCTGCTGCTGATCTCCTCCACCTCCTTTAAATCCATTCATCCACTGAGCGCTCTCGCACTGATTCATCCATCCATTTGCTTTCCCCTCAATCCTCTGGCAAAACTGAATTTTGTCTCTCTCATGCAGCTCCGTATTTGTAAACTCTTCATCTCCTCTTCTCCTCTTGGTCATCTGTCACTCCTCCATGGCAGTATTTTAAAAAAGCTCAGGCGGTCAATCTAAGGTTCCTCTTCCCCCGTGGAAACAGCCAACCGCATGGCCACAGAGAGGTGGTCAGTGAGGCCGGCCAACTGGGTAACGAAACTGAACTCCTCGATGTCCTGCAGGAGGAAGAGAAAATAACCGTCATCAAGATCTCCTTTATTCTGGGGAAATGTAAACTTTGCTCAATGGATTTTGTAGCCAATTGAAGACAACGTAACAAGCTGAAAACTTCTCACATACCATCATGTAAAGTTGTTATAGCGAAGGCGTAAGCGAACAGTCATGGTTTTTGCTTTAAAATATTGATTTTCTCAAATGACACTGAAAAGACAGCTGGTGTTAGCTAGCTAGCAATGCTCATTAACAGTACCAAATAGACTGCTTAATTTACCCAATGTTCAATTTACCCTATAAAATGACCAGTGGCTTCTACACACACAGGCAGTTATATATTGCAGGCAGTAAACATTTAAAAAATAAAATAAAAATGAATGTAGCGCTTAGATCCAAGGTCAGCTTTTGACATGTACTTGTGATGTGTCTTTGGAAACTCCCCTTAGTACATAGCCATGTTGTGCACAGTGAACACTTGTGTAGTGTTTGCATTTAACCTGGGTAGGGTTTTTCCAACCGCACCCAGCTGCTGTATCCTCACTGGAATGACAATTGTTGCTGTTAGCTTGCTAGTAGCTAGATAGCAATAATCATACCAAATCATTATAGACTGCTCAATTTACCCGATACAATGACCAGTGGCATCTTTTTCGACATCAGTATAGTGGTACATTACTTAAAGCTAAGATGTTAGCACATAGTGTATTTACATATATCAACACTAGAATTGTTTTAAACCATGTGGTCAGTGTGCAATGAACAAGCTTCCAAACTGAAGGTTTTGGAGAGTTAGAGAGAACTGCAGCTTTGAACTCTGTAAATATGTAAGAAAGAGTAACATCTTTCACATTATACATAATAAAGCTGATCCATTAATAATTTAAGAAATATGGCATCCCATTACTTTAATTCCCCCCTTTTTAGAATTCATAGAATAGACATTGAATACATGTATACAGTAAGTAGCTAGTTGTAAGCAGATACAAGTCTTTACTAATGTTTTTGTCAATAAATAACTCCTCCAGTAAGGCACCTTACAGTGGAGGCTGCCATATACCAGATCATTTATAGTCAAACATAAAATTACATATTTCTTAATAGGTTAAATTATTATTATATATAAATAAAACTGAATAGTATACACTTAAAATGTTCTTATATTCGATTACAACGACATATTAGAATCTTAAAATAAACACATGTTTATATATTGCTGTTTTAATGAAGAATGGTTCTAGTTCAACTACTACACTACATGATCAACAGAATCTGGCCACTAATATAATATCACTATTTGTATTACTATTACTTTTACTATCACTATTTCTATGAATACTAGTTGTGGGCTTTTAATTAAATGTATGTAGCCTACTGCTTCTTCTTCTATCATCACAAATATTGCCATAATAATTGACATTTTATACTATCTGTTTTGATTGAATGTTTTCAGATCTGTATTAGCATCAATGGAATGAGTTTAATCATGTGGCAATACTACAAGGAGTGCTCCGACATAAAATGAGTACACAGAAACAACAATGGTGCAATAACATGTGTAAAGAAACAGGGTTTGAGGTGTAGTTATGAGGAAGGATAACCACATTATATTTGCTGATTTGCTCAGCAGCAGTCAGTGTGAAGTGAAATGATGTCGCAGTTACTACGTTGGGGCAGCAGGGGGCATCAGGAGAGCGAGAGGAAGGGAGATGTGCTCTCTGTAAATGATTGGTTTGTTTTTTCAATCCTCTCCAATCCCTCACACAGACAGGCAGCCAGGACAGTGCTGCCCTCATTCCTCTTCTCTCCACCCTGTGGATGTTTTTCAGTGTCTCCTCTCTAAATGTAATGTCTTTCAATCTTTTTATCCCTTTAACAAGTCCAATGTTCTCCTGCATAATGAGATCATTTCCCTTGGCTCAGGAACAAAAAGTGTCTTGTTGCCAGGAAATGAATCAGGGCAGAATAAGGCACATCACCTCCCCGCTGACAAGAAAATGATAGGCAATTCAACAGTTTGTGCACTTAGTTTCTGTAAATGGAAACAACCATTTCCCCCCTATTACCAGCCTTATTCAATAGTGAAATTAATTTTGATTCACAGATTTATGTGATGACACATACCAGAATACTCTGGGATGTAAGTTTTTAGTTTTTTATTCCAAAAGTTAGATGAGAAGATGGATTACTCATATCTGTATGCTATCTATTAATCCAGTACCATCTGACATTAGATCTGTTTATGAAATAAATAGCATGCTATCAAGAAAGCAAATAAGCTAATTTCCCTGGATAAAATATTTGTTATCGTAACTTGAAAGAAATAAAACTGGATGTCAAGGAGTTACATTTCTGGTCTTAATTTGATACAATTAATAACGGTAGGCTTGATGTCCACACATTCTTTTCCTATAATGCTCTGAACCATACCAGTTTCCAGTCCGGCTGCAGGCCCTCGTCGCTGTACAGCATGTAGTCGATCCGCCGCCCGTTGCCCTTCAGCGGGATCTTCCTCCCCTTCTGACTGCTGGCCGGACACTGGCTCTTACTGGGAGGAAACACCAGGTACTCCTTCCTCCCCTCCTCGTTCTCCATCACTCTGAGACACAAAGGGATGGATCAGCAAATGTAAGGTAACACACAGGAGTTGCTGGTAGTAAAACGTAATAACAAAAAATATTACAGAGTTGTGTGCTTCACACATTTGGACTGTAGTGTTTAGGTCAGAGATCAGTTTTGGACTAGCATTTCAATTCGGATACTTCCCTTAGTACACTGCCAGGTTGTGCATTGTGAACAAGAATGCAGTGCTTGAATTTCCACTGTGTAGTGTTGCATCAAACCGTACACAGCTGCTGTGCCCTCTCCAGACATAACTCTAGCTAGCGAGCAATGCTTGTTCGCAGTAGCAAATCATTACAGATGGCTCAATTAACCATATAACATTAACGCTGGCTTCTTTACAACAGAAAAAACCCCACATGTATAACTTTTCTTTGTACAGTGTGTACAGTGTTCCACACTAAACGTGTTGACTGCTATGAGAACACCATCCGGGTAGGCCTACTCATAGTGCATTTTGCCATATTACGCATTGGGACACACTTAAATGCTCAAAATGACACATGCAGGCAGAAGTATGTGATTTGAGTCACAGCATTAGAGTTCTAATGAAGTTTAATAGTATATTTTTCCTGATGCCTTTAGTTCTATTTCCAGTCACAGAGCTGCTGCTGAGTGTACTACATTCTAGTGCTGTCCACCAACATTTTTACAGAATAGTGTAAGGCACTGCAATATGATCCCTTCAATTTCCATTCTGGCAAAAGACAACTCATCATATACCCTGCACTTAAACTGATACACTTTTGACCAACAAGTTAGTAATTTCAGTCAGAGATAACACAATCATCTGAAATAATTAAGCTATAGTTACTCTATTGCACTGCTTTATGTCTTTTTTTGTGTTAAGTATACTGTGTTGTCTTAGGAGCCTGGGTCTTTAATTGTCATTGCCAAAACTACGCTGTAGCTATTGTGCATATGACAAAAAGCATTTGAAAGTTGAATCATTGTTGATGTTAAGTTATAGGTTAGGGAATTAATGGAGGACTACTTTAACTTATTTTTAGAATAAAGGCTTACGATCTAGTTAAGTTAGAGACCTGTCTGTAGTGGTTGTGTTCAAGGTTTGTAGAAGTGTGTGTGTGTGTGTGTGTGTGTGTGTGTGTGTGTGTGTGTGTGTGTGTGTTTGTGTGACTCACTTTTGTAAACTTTCAGGTGAGCTGACCTCGTCGTCATAAAGGCCGCTGGGATCCAGTAGAGTACCTGTTGGAAGAGACAGTTAAATGTATCACTACGCAGACAGACACATTTTCCTGATTATTTTTTACTGACAAGTCCACTCTCCTCTTAACCCCTCATTAAATACCCCCACTAGAGGGTGCCGTGTGGGGGAGACACAATTAATTCTTATACTTTCCATTATCATTTTTAAACACAGTGTGGATTGTGTATCAGTTTTAGCCCCCTATTGTCGGTTCTGAGCTTCCTTGAGTCCAGTGAAGGCACCCTGGGCTGCCCCTGGCCAACTTTTGGCCCCACGCAAAGTTATATGATGAGGCCCTCTGTGTCGCGAGCGTCGACGTGCTAGTGGAGCCTCGGGCAAAACTGTGGCGCGCTTAGACTGTAGGTGCGCCGCATTTGCGCCTCCCTCCGCAAAATGAAGATCCCTGCGCAAGATGAGGCCCCCTCCGCGAGGTGAGGCCCCCGCGCAGTCTGTGTGATCGGCCTGCACCCTGGAGATAGAAGTGTTTTTTTGGCTGGGTTTTATTTGTTTCTGTGCCGTTCACATTGATCTAGTGTATGCTTTACAATCCTCCCCCTCACTATGAGGACCAGCTTCTTCCTTTGTAGCTAAAAGTACCACTAGTGCTTTTCATTGTGGCAAAGTAGGCGTCGTCAGCCGACTTTGTTCTGAGAGCTTAGAGCTCCATCTTTATCTTCCACTCGCCTGTCATCCAGAAATATAGCAGAGAGAGGAGCACTCAGAGATCCTTTTGACGGAGAGGATGTCAGGCTGTGGGCTGGATAATATGGTTATAATGCCCCGATGAAGAGAACAGCACTCTGAAGTTACAGCAGTCAATTCACAAGTGAGCATGATGCACAGCCTCGACACACTGCTGTACTACTTTCAGCTTCAGGGGGCTAACATATCTACAGGTACTCTGCCCTAAAAGAGTAGTGCAGGAATGAGTCATACAATCCAAAATTGTGTTAGCAATTTACCACTACCTGTTCCCTGGACTTGAAGTTACATTTTTTCTGATTGTCTTTTTAGCTAGAAGCCTGAAATAGGATCCGTGGTTGACATAAGCTGAGAAGATTTTCACGTTTTGTTCTACGACATAAAATACATCAGTAAATACTCCACTAGTAAATGTCTGAAGTTTCTATGTGCCTTAAAAACAGCGGTTGCTAACAATTGTCTAAATGAGACCACTGTATGTCATCACGCCAAACATTAGCTGTCCTTAGCTTAGCGGTGTTTAAGTAAAGTCATGTGAACCTGTTGTGGTTCCTTTATAGCCTAAAGTTAGCTTACTTCTGACGTTATTGTCATATGTGTTTGCCACATATGTTATTTTCTGCCCTTTTCTGAAAAACCCATTGCTTTTGGTCGAGAGCCCTTGTGATGCTAACTTCTTGGTCGCCCAGAAAAATACGTCATCACTGCTCCACTCTATAACTTGTGGCCTCACCAAAAAGCTGTAGTATATGTGTGGGGAGTAAATAAATATTGTTTTCTTATGTCAATTTTGACCACAACTCCTAAAAAACATGGGATTGCACAGATACTTTTGTTGGTTTGTTGGTTTACATGTTTAATCTGCAATCAGACATGAAAACACATCACCAAAACAGCTTTGTCAGTTATGATGGGAAAAGATGAGGAACGATGAGAGATTTTTACTGAAACATTTAATTTTCACAACTTCAAACGTGTGAGTTTTACTTCAGTATCCCCACTTTTAACCATTGAGTGGTCGGAGGCATGCATGCCATCATTCCAAGGGGATTTGAATGCAGCATAATTTTCCTGTTTATTTGGCTGGCTGGGTCGTCAGAATTAGAAGGTTCCAGCAGTTCTCAGAGTTTATGAAATCTATGGACACCATCAGAACAACATGCTCTCTGTGTCTCTTTTTGAAGCTTTATGAAATCTGATAAGCTTTCTCCCCTTTATTTCATTGGTTCACTGATCCGCACTTCTTCTCCTGCTTCTTTCTTCCTCTCTTGTCTAATAGCAGCCAAACGGGAGGCTCAGGTCTATTCCTCTGGCTCACTGCGCAAAATGTCCCTGTCCAAATAAATAAGCCCTTCTCTAAACGAGCCCTTTCACTCTGTCCTGCCCACACTGTCCCAGAAATACCGCTGGCCTAAATAACATTTTGCATCCAGACCAAAACCCTCCAGTGTTTACGTCACTAAGGCCATGTGTCAGCACGCAGCATTTATATTCCCACAGTAGGTGCAACCTGATTTAGATCAATCTGTGTGTATGGATCAACACACTGATGTGTGTGTGTAGCAGGACCTCCCTTTTATTGTGTAACATTAAATCCTGTTTTGAGGATTAGTTTGGGGTATTTAGGTCTTTTTTATCTGTGAATGCATACATGTGTTGGATATATTAGAAATACAGTACATGTGATGGTGTCCCAGATCTAATGTGTGTGTGTGTGTGTGTGTGTGGCGTGTGGAAGGGATACAATTCATTCTTATACTTTCCCTTATTATTTTTAAACACAGTTTGGATTGTGTATCAGTTTTAGCCCCCTATTGCTTGGTTCTGAGGTGTGTGTGTGTGTTTGTGTGTGTGTGTGTGTTTGTGTGTGAGTGTGGTTACCCAGAGCCCATGGTTTGTCCTCCCCCGGCCCCAGGCGACAGGGGTCCTTGTATTGAGTAAAAAGTGCATGCTGCTGCTCCAGCTTGTCCTCTGGAAAACACCGGAGCACAGGCAGAGATTAATTTAGACTTCAGTCCAAACACAAGAGTAACACATCTCTGATTCTTTTCTGCCAGATCTGGCACATGAAAAATAAATCATAGACACTGTACGGAAATGTAAAAGTAAATCCTCGACCGATTGGAATAATATTGATATGATTATAGTAAAAAACATTATTGAAGAAATTGCAGAACCATTGACACATCTCTTTAACTTGTCTTTTCAATCTGGTAAATTCCCAAATAAAATGAAAATAGCTAAAGTTATACCATTTCATAAAACTGGGGATAAACATCGTTACACAAATTACAGACCGGTTTCATTGCTCTCTCAGTTTTCCAAGATCCTTGAAAAGGTTTTTACAAAAAGACTTGACAGTTTCATGAAAACACATCAGCTTTTGGACGAGAGTCGATATGGATTCAGGAAAGATAGATCAACATCTATGGCACTAATAGAATTAAGTGAGGAAATAGCAAACTGCCTGGACAATAAAAAACGAGCAGTGGGAACATGTATAGACCTACAAAAAGCATGTGACACCATAGATCACAACATTTTACTGATAAAACTGGAACGGTATGGCATCAGAGGGGTGGGATTAAACTGGGTGAGAGATTATTTAAGCAACAGACAACAATTTGTTGAAATTGGTGAACATAAATCAGAAGACATGAACATAACTTGTGGAGTACCTCAGGGGTCTGTGTTGGGTCCAAAGCTGTTCATAATATACATCAACGACATTTGCAGAGTATCAAATATATTGAAATGTATTTTATTTGCAGATGACAGTAATATTTTTTGTTCCGGTGACAATTTGAAAGAGCTAATGGAGGTAATAACAGCAGAAATTATTAAAGTGAAACATTGGTTTGACACAAACAAATTATCATTAAATATAAGCAAAACAAAGATTATGCTATTTGGAAAACATAAAACAAATCCTCAGGTGCAATTAATACTAGACAACATAAACATAGAAAGAGTATATGTAAATAAGTTCCTTGGTGTGGTTTTAGAGCACACAATCAGCTGGAAGCAAAACTGGCTAAGACTATCGCAATATTGGGGAAAGCAAGACACATTCTGGAGTACAAATCATTATATACTCTGTATGATACACTCATATTGCCATGAGTTACCGTGTGGAGATTTGGGGAAACACGTACAAAACCAACCTACAGCCGTTATGCACATTACAGAAAAGGGCTGTAAGAGTTATCAATAATGTTGGATATCTTGAACACACTAATGTATTATTTTTGAAGTCACACATATTGAAGTTCACTGATCTGGTTAAATTTAAAACGGCACAAATCATGTACAGAGCCAGACATAATCTACTTCCTAGGAAATTAAAAACATTGTTCATAGACAGAGAGGGTGGGTATAATTTGAGAGGAAATCTACATTTTAAACAACTCAAGGTCAGAACAACTCTGAGAAGTATGAGTTTAACAATCTGTGGGGTGATTTTATGGAATGGTTTGGAGCAGGAGTTCAAACAAAGCACAAGCATAATTCAGTTTAAAAGGATGTACAGAAACACTTTTTTGGAAAAATATGAGAATGAAGAGAGGTGATTGAAGATGAGAAATGATTGTATATGTATGTATTAATGTAAATGTAAGTAGGAATAACTTGCATAATGATTTAAAGGACAATCATTGATCAAGTAAGGGGTGGGAATTAATAAGCATTTGCTTCCTCCTACTCCCTTTCGGACACATATGATTTTTTATTATTAATATGAAGACTTTTTTTTGTTGAATATATAAATATTATCATGAATGTGGATAAATACTGTATTTTAACAATACGGTATTCTCTTTTTCACAATTGTTATTTTTTTAATCTGTTCGAAATAAAGATTGAAATGAAATGAAATTCTTCCTTATTAGTTATTACTGCCTGAGAACAGGGTGGTATGAGTTTCAATGAACAGGAAACATAATGGGACATTTCCCAATTCCCATTTGGCATCACTACATTTTGCATATTATGTATTAGATTTGATAATAAATATGTTAATTATAAATATTTCAATTAATTAATACTCTCCCATACGTTTAATATTATTCTTACACAATTTATTCAGTCTTTAGAGAGAATAACTAAAAAGTCGTTTGCCAATGTTTATATATGAACGTTTTAAGGGTTAAAAACTAACTATGAAATATGAATAATACTCAATTAAAAGTGATCTGAATGATAGTTATGTAATTATGATAATTATAGCATGAGAATTACAAACTGTAAAATGTATTTGTACCTGAGAGAGAAATTGATTCCACTCTATTTGTGGGAAAAGCAGTCATCTTACCATAACATGTAACTGATGAGTCATGTAACATGTTAGTGATGAGTCATGTAACATGTTAGTGATGAGTAACATGTTAGTGATGAGTTATGTAACATGTTAGTGATGAGTCATGTAACATGTTAGTAGGGATGGGATCGTTTGAAATGTATCGATTCCGATTCCGGTTCTGCTTATCGATTCCGGTTCTTATCGATTCCCCGTTTCGATTCCAAAATTGTAAAAGAAAGAGGTCAAACGTTTAGATAACAAAAATATCTTAATTTTTTTAAGCTTTAACTGACATTTTTACAAATAAAAAATATACATGCAATACAAATGTGTTGCACAATAGCTGTGCTTTATTTTAACTGAGCTATGCCTGTGGCAAGCTATTAGCAGGCATTACACTGTGCCTTGTCTTTTTCTTTTTTAGTGTAGTGGAGCCTCACTTTAGAGCGTTTACCACGACCTATCTTTGGTGTTATGAAGTGACTGAGCTCGTGAACTGTCTACGGCAGGGCGGGGGAGCCTCGCTGCGGGGAAACTGTGGACCTCTGTCGCCGCAACTTACATGATGCCGTTTAAAAAAATTAAGGTCGGTGCCGGCCGTCAGCGTACCGAGCCGGCCGTCAACGGCCCGCTGACGACCCGCTGACGACCGGCCGTTCTGTGATTCTCCAGAACGCACAGATGGCCAGTCCGCCCTTACTCTGGCTGTATTCCACCGGGGCCCCGCGGCGCAGACGGACCCGCGGCGCAGACGGACCCGCGGCGCAGACGGACCCGCGGCGCAGATGGACCCGGTGGAATACAGGGTCTACCGCGTTTAGGAACCGTTAAGCAGAACCGAAATTGTGTATTTTGTATGGGTACCCGGTACCCGGCATTTTCTTATCGGTTATCATCTGGAACCGAGTTTTGGTTCCCAACCCTACATGTTAGTGATGAGTCATATAACATGTTAGTGATGAGTCATGTAACATGTTAGTGATGAGTCATGTAACATGTTAGTGATGAGTCATATAACATGTTAGTGATGAGTCATGTAACATATTAGTGATAAGTAACATGTTAGTGGTGAGTCATATAACATGTTAGTGATGAGTCATGTAACATGTTAGTGATGAGTAACATGTTAGTGATGAGTCATGTAACATGTTAGTGATGAGTCATGTAACATGTTAGTGATGAGTAACATGTTAGTGATGAGTCATATAACATGTTAGTGATGAGTAACATGTTAGTGATGAGTCATGTAACATGTTAGTGATGAGTCATATAACATGTTAGTGATGAGTAACATGTTAGTGATGAGTCATGTAACATGTTAGTGATGAGTCATGTAACATGTTAGTGATGAGTCATGTAACATGTTAGTGATGAGTCATGTAACATGTTAGTGATGAGTAACATGTTAGTGATGAGTCATATAACATGTTAGTGATGAGTCATATACTATGTTAGTGATGAGTAACATGTTAGTGATGAGTCATATAACATGTTAGTGATGAGTCATATACTATGTTAGTGATGAGTAACATGTTAGTGATGAGTCATATAACATGTTAGTGATGAGTCATATACTATGTTAGTGATGAGTCATGTAACATGTTAGTGATGAGTCATGTAACATGTTAGTGATGAGTCATGTAACATGTTAGTGATGAGTCATGTAACATGTTAGTGATGAGTCATGTAACATGTTAGTGATGAGTCATGTAACATGTTAGTGATGAGTCAGGTGTCTCTATATGTTCACCTTTAGCTTTCACAGTTAATGCTACGTACTTTCATATTTTATAAGTTACCTCTATAAAAGCCCAGGCACTGTGCAAATATCCTGTCAGAGCTATCAGAGGTCTTAGATGTCATTAAATCAGTGATACATTATGGACAAGTGACTGTTTCCTGGGTTCAAACATTATCCAGGTGAAAGAAGCACAAAGATAACCTCCATAATTTGTTTGAACTAATCTGCATCAAACAAAACAAAACAAAGTGTAAAGTAAAGCATATAGTGATTTAGCCAATATGTTTGCTCACCTGAAGAGCAGTTATCAAAGTTGAGGTCTCCCAGGACCACATCGAAGGCCACCAGGTCCTCCAGAACCTTCTCTCCTTCAGGGGGTTGGGACGAGGCCTGGCGAAACTCCGCCCCCCACTGGAGCAATAGGTCCAGCTGCTCACAGCGCACAGAGGCATCCCCTGGAACAGAGTGCATTGTGGGTCGTGGAGAGAGGGAGGAGCAGGACAAAAGAAGAAGACAAATTAATACATGTTTCAGATAAAGTGCCCAGAACTGATCTACATGAGAGGGAGTTAGAGGTCGGGGTGTCATTTTTTAAAATGATATATAATTAGAATTTGACAGTGAGTAAGGTTTTGAATGTCCAACATTCAACCTTTCAGCATGTTACTTCAAAACTACATACATACAAAATCATAGAATCAAAAACCATTTGATCAGGAACAGTGTTAATGTATCCCTACCCACACAATTATGTACACATTTGCCAAACTCACACACATTGCATGTTGGGTAATTGTGTGGCCTTGCTCCATCTATAGAGCTTCATAAATGTGCTGCATAATATATTTTCTGACACTCTAAGTAATACTACATTTATGTTTTTCCTTTTTAAAGTGTCTGCTTTCTCATTTTGTACGTTTTCGACATCAGCCGGAAGCGGTTTTGCATTTGTCATCCAGTCACATATATAATTGTTTCCATTATTTAAAAATAAAACAAATATTTTACACTTTCACCTTTTTTTAAATCCATCTTTCAATGTCCTCCCAAGTCTTTTAAATGTTCATCATTGCCAAAAGGGATTAGGAACCCCCTGTTATTTTGTTACACTCACTACACTTCTACTACTACTACTGCCGGTGTGTCCTTGGGCAAGACACTTCACCTAAACTTGCTCCTGTGGGTATTGTCCACAGTATCTGACCATTGCATGTATGATATATGTGTAATGTGTGTATATGTAAAGCGCTTTGAGTCATTGATAAAGCGCTATAATAAATGTAAGGAATTATTATTATTATTACTTATTGATTTTTAAAGCTTTCCCTGTCATTTTTTTATTTGAACATTAGTTCAATTAATGACGTGTGATTTCAGTGGGGTCACTTGTTTTCAATCAAAAGGTTCCGATAAGGCCTCTGTACACTACCTGCTCAGCAATCAAAGAGCAGATACACACAGTTAAAGACTACTGGTAAAGAGGGGGGGGGGGGGCATTAAGCTGGTTAAGAGATAGACATTTCTGTATAAAGTTGGTTAAATACATTATCAATACAGCATTAAAGTGGCATTGCTTAAAGGAATTGGAAAATGTATTGGGATTGAAACTCAATATGTAAATTGGAATAACTTTTACACTTTTACATTTTAAATATTATGTGCACGCCCTTTTTCTTATTGTGTTTTATTTGATTTCTTCACTTTTGCTGTAACAATGTAAATGTCCCGAATAGAGGTATTCTGGTTCTGATTGTAACTGCATCTTTACCGCTACGTTGTTCCTTACTTGGCTGTTATCACTAAGCTTTTAAGCTGTATTATGTAACTAATATTAGAGCCCTAATATCGAGCCACTGGTGGTACTATATTGCTTTGGCAGTGTTTTCTCCCTCTGCACCCTGCCAGTACAAATTAATTGGAGTTACAGGGAGGGGAAGAGGGGAGTGTGTGAGAGAAATAACAGCTGAGCAGTGGAGAGTGTGAGAAACAAAGAGGTGTCAAGATATCGGTGGGTGAGTAGGTGGTTTTGGCTTTGATTACTTCAGCTCAAATACAAAATGCAACGCTGTTTATTCCTTTTGTGTTAGTGGATCACTTCAAGTTATATAAAGAGGAGGTTTGCTGTACATTCACCTGTGCATGAGTCTTTATTCGTTCGCGCTTGTGTATTGGCAGTTTATGTTAGCTCTACATTATCCACCTGTGATAAACACACTAGAATAATCCTAATAGTCACCCAGCAACTCAATTTATATATTCGATTCTGAAATGGGCCATTACATATAACGAGTATTTTTACTTTTGGTACTTTAAGTATATTTTGATGCTGATACTTTGTACTTTTACTTAATAAGCTTTTGAATGAAGGACTTTTAATTGTAACAAAGTACTTTTAAAATGTATAATTGCTAATCTTACTTAAGTAAAACATCTGAATACTCCTTAAAAAGCTGTTAAAGACTACTGTACCAGGAAAACTTCGATGATATTTGTTCAGAGCTGTAACTCAACAGTATAACTATTCTAACTGAGTGCCAAGTATTGATTTATTAAGTCAAAATATGGCAAAACAGTTGTATTCTATATTTCTCCTCCAAATCTCTTTGTCTGGCCTCGGAGGCTCTCCGTCTGGTTACTTGACCCATCAAGTCTGGACCTCCTCCCTACGTGGACCAAGCCCCCAAAAAGTGAGCAGGGTGTTGAAGCAAATTTCTATAGTGGCCAAACAGTGGTACAATAACTTTTGTTTCAGTCATCTTACCAAAAAGAAGTTTTCACATTGAGTAACATTGGAAAAAAGACATCAGCAAAGTAAAACAAAAATATATATGTATTTTTCTAACGAACACATACAAATGTGTATGATAACCACTGTTATCGAGAGGATTGTAATCCCCCCCGAGGCTTTATGTTGGGTGTGTCTTTAGAAGCAGCCCGGCTATATTTAGACCCAGAGAAGCGTAGGAGGAGCCCAGAATAGAAGCAAACAGGGGAGTCGTGTCTTCTGTAAAAAATTAGGGTGGCATCGACCAGAGGCTTTAAATAGGACCGTGACGGCGTAAACAGTTTGAGCCAGTCGCCATGGGAACAGCAGGAGGAGGCATGCAGAGGTTTTGAAGAACCCTTTTATCTATCTGGACACACACACACACACACACACACACACACACACACACACACACACACACACACACACACACACACACACACACACACACACACACACACACACACACACACACACACACACACACACACACACACACACACACACACACACACACACACACACACACACACACACACACACACACACACACACACACACACACACACACACACACACACACACTGGATGTAGCTGGAGTGTTTTACTATACGTGTTCTTTTATGCAGTTGGTGATCACCTGATTTATCATACAAAACACTGTGTTTGCTTTGAAATGTATTCAACTAAAACATTTATAAATGACGATTCTGTAAGGCAAGGCAAGTTTATTTATATAGCACCTTTCAACACAAGGCAATTCAAAGTGGTTTTAGAAAATCGCATTTAAAAACAGTCATTAAAAAGCAAAGATAATAAAATAAACATTAAAAGAAAAAATACATGAATAAAAGTTACAGTGCAGTTTAAAATATGATCCTTTGCTCTTTACACTAATTTCTTGCCCTATTCTTCGTTTTTTCTCCTTTCCGATCGGGTCCCCGACTCGTATTTTTAACACTTCTTAGGGTCCCGGACACCTAAACCATGTGCACAATTGTAATATATCAATTAGTAAGAACACTTCGATAGGGTACCCGACTCCTATTTTTAACACTTTGATACACATCCTTATCAGGCTTCGGAAACAGCAGATGCTGTCTTGAAGGGGGGGAGGACGTTTCTTTCTAGTTGCGGATTTTTCATAGTCTTATATTTCAACAGTTTTAAGACAAACTGTGACTTTTTTGACACGGAAATTATTTTTTTAAGATTGACAAACATCATATGTGTAATTCATGGCACAATTCAAACGGGATCGAAAGATACGTTTTCTCTCTCCATTGACTTCAATACATAATTTTTCAGAAATAAGGTCCCATGGGGCGGAAGTAGATAGAGTGGCGAAGTGGCGAAGTCCCTCCCCTTCCGGGGGAGCTCCATGGGACCTTATTTCGGAAAAATTATGTATTGAAGTCAATGAAGAGAGAAAATGTATCTTTCGATCCCGTTTGAATTGTGCCATGAATTACACATATGATGTTTGTCAATCTTAACAAATCAATTCCATGTAAAAAAGTCACAGTTTGTCGTAAAACTGTTGTAATATAAGACTATGAAAAATACGCAACTAGAAAGACTACAAATCCCAGAGTCGCGTAAGTGATGTCATAACTGATGTCACAATTGTTTTCCTCCACCAAATAAGAGATAGCTAAGATAAGATAACTTTAACAACCTGTTAAGCCCCGAGCCTGTTTTTCAGGTTTCAGGCTCGAAAATGACATTCCCAGAACAAATGACCACATCTTCCCTTCTAAAAGGGTTAAATTAATAATCTTTTTTCTCAAAGTAATAATAAACCTGTGAGTTGGTTGTAGAAAAGTCAGATTCAATATAGATGTTTTTTATTTTAAAGAAAATTCAGATTGAACATGGTAAAAAACTGTAAATTATAGTGTCCGTCCAAAAAACATGTTGTACTTATAGTGAAACTAACCTTGGATGATGGGTTAGTAGACTAAAAGCTTTAGGAATCCAAAGTACAACATATAATAAGTACCCTGTATCAAGATTGATGCAAAACAAGTGATATTTTACCTTTTTAGACAGATTTAGCAAAAAAAAACCTCTTCTGGGGCCATTTGGGTGGATTTTTCATATCTCTGGCCCCCCTTGCTGGATTTTGACATTTGACATCTCTTTCTGACCGTCAGAGCCAATGGAATCGAGGGGAACTCCCACATAGTCCTTATTTGGTAATGTGTGTGTGTGAGACTACCGCATAGCCAAGACCGGAAGCAGCAGCCACTCTGGTAGCTACCATTAGCAGCTAACTTTTGCTCTCCGATTTTTACATAAAAATGGAATTATGGATTATAAATGAAATATTTTTTTTATACAGAGACGTTAAAAACCTATGGATCAACCGATTCAGCCACGTTTTTTCTCGTTTTAATGCCATTGAACACGTCTTTTGATCAGATTGACAGCTACGGTGAGACGATCTCCCTAGAAGCTCCGTAAAGGTACGTGTTGTGATGTCTGTGCTTGCTTCCCCTGTCGCGAGTTCGGATCACTCAGTGATGATATTATATACCTAAATAATCGGTGGAACCTCAGCTTTAATCGGATATCTTGTATGTGCAGCTACGATAAGTAATAATGGTACTTTTATCTTGAGTTCTGTGCCAATGTCCGTTAGCATTTTTCGCTAAGGGGTCATTTAGATGCTTCTTATGAGATTTGTGTTCTGTTTTGGTAAAAATGGTTTGTATCGTCAGTAGGGATGGGTATCGTTTGAAATTTATCGATTCCGATTTCGATTCCGGTTCTGCTTATCGATTCCGGTTCTTATCGATTCCCCGTTTCGATTCCAAAATTGTAAAAATAAAGAGGTCAAACGTTTAGATAACAAAAATATATTTATTCTTAAAAGCTTTAACTGAAATTGTTACTAAAACATATACATGCAATACAAATGTATTGCACAATAGCTGTGCTTTATTTTAACTGAGCTATGCCTGTGGCAAGCTATTAACAGGCATTACACTTTGCCTTTTCTTTTTCTTTTTTAGTGTAGTGGAGCCTCACTTCAGAGTGTTTACCGCGACCTATCTTTGGTGTTATGAAGTGACTGAGCTCGTGAAATGTCTACGGGAGGGCGGGGGAGCATCGCTGCGGGGCAACTGTGGACCTCTGTCGCCTGTCAGCGCAATTTATATGATGCCGTTTAAAAAAATGAAGGGCAGTGCCGGCCGTCAGCGTACCGAGCCGGCCGTCAACGGCCCGCTGACGACCGGCCGTTCTGTGATTCTCCAGGTCCGCCCTGTATTCCACCGGGTCACCGCAGCACCGCGGTGCAGACGGACCCGCTGGAATACAGGGTCTACCGCGTTTAGGAACCGTTAAGCAGAACCGAAATTGTGTATTTTGTATGGGTACCCGGTACCCGGTATTTTCTTATCGGTTCTCATCTGGAACCGAGTTTCGGTTCCCAACCCTAATCGTCAGTTAGCTGAGATTATTCCCGTTAATCTGGTATAACACATTAATAGGTTCTTAAATATTAAGATCCCCTGAGACACAGTGTCGTGGAAAAAAAAACAGGGTCCCCGCCGACGGGGACGTTTGGGCTTAACAGGTTAATTAACAAGATGCCTGTGTGCTTAGTACCAGGTTGTTATCATACCAGCAATCGGTCTTGCTCGTTCTTTCGCTTCCCGTCTGATGAAAGGACCAGGAGTGGCTGGACAAGTTAGCTACCTAGCTAGTAGCAAGCACGTTAGTTAGCATTACAGTCTTAGTTAGCCATGTCATTTTTATTAGCCTTAATATGAAGAAGTAACATCAAGTAACCCAAAATGTTAAACAGTAAGAGTAGTAGTCATATTTCGTGAACCCTTTGAAGAGTACTGTCACACCGGTGTGATCATTCTATAATACACAATTTAAGCCCGGGGGAGAAATGCTAACGTTAACGCTACATTAGCACCGGCGATCTGTTCCACTTCATGCTATCTGCACAAATGGTTGACATTAAACATTAAAAAGATCAGGCAGTTCAGAGAGAATCAAAGGAAGGCAGGCAGGCAGCTTTGCATGACATTCTTCTGGACGTGTTTCATTGTGGTGATAGTGAGGATAGTCAATCCCTTTTTTTTCAAGACAGTAGTGACGGCCATCTTGGTGACGTGTGTTGTTGTGCGAGACCAGAGATGTAGTTCATTCAGCGTTTCACACAAAAAAATGTGTTACTTCACAGTTTTACGACACTTTTTTTTTTTGACTTGCAAAGTTATCTTTTAAATTGACAAACATCATATGTGTAATTCGTGGCACAATTCAAACGGGATCAAAAGATAATCTTTCTCTCTCCATTGACTTCAATACATAATTTTTCCGAAATAAGGTCCCATGGAGCTCCCCCGGAAGGGGAGGGACTTCACCACTCTACAGAAATCTCAGTAGATGAATGCTTGCATGATAAGGTAGTACCCATAGAGTCCAGTAGAGGGTGGAGCCTTTGAGATATATAACATTTTTACAGGTAATTGTAACAGGTTACCTTTCTAAAGTAACCCTCCCAACCCTGGTGTTCTCTAGAGACACAAAATACTTTAAAATATAACACTACAGTTTGTCATATACTCATTGTACTACGTTTTTAAGTGTATTTTGTATATTGAAATTTGGTGTAAATACTTAACTTTATTCTTTTTTAATGCTAAATCGTTTTTTAAAATTATTTTCTTTTTATAACCGTTATATTTCTGACCTTCTCTTACAACCTATTTTCTTATGTTGTTTATGTTTGCATCATCATACATCAAATCAAACTCCTTGTATGTGTAAACTTACCTGGCAATAAACCTGATTCTTATTCTGAAATTAGATATACTCCACATCATTTTATGAGTGCATTCAGCTGTGTGTTAATGAGACAGACAGAGAGGTTGAGTAGAACAGGCAACTGTACCTTCTATGGCGTGGAGGTGCGTACTCGTGAGATATCCCACAACCCTTTGCTCCTGATGGGAGGTGCCCACGTGAACCTGCAGGGGGGCAGAGAGATATGACATGATGTTACTGAGAGTTCACACAGCAGCATCAGAGCCTGGGTGTGTTTGTGTGGAGCAGACCAGGAAACACAGCAGCACTCAGATCCTACAGGAGAGCTGAGTCCATCCCTCTGGGAAACACTCATCAGAGCAGTCACTTAACGCAGCCATTAGGTTGTGCTACATGACATCAATGAGGCAAGAACATTAGTGGAGACTATGCAAATACACAGCAGCATGGAGAAGGAGTCATGTAAAACAATAATGACTTCTTTATTTTACCAGCTCATGATCATTGTTACATCTGTATTTCAAAATTACAAAACAATTAACTCATAGTTATTGTAGTAACAAGGTCCATTGCAATAATGATATCCCTATAATATATTAATATAGGGATATATTGTATTGTTATATTGTGTTACCTCATAAACAATAGTAAAAATTACTACAAGACAAATATATATTATTTACTGATTACAAGATCTAACTATATATTTATACTTATACTGTATGGCATAATTATGAGATAAGGTCCCCGTAATACCGAGATCCTAATTTCATAATTATAAGATCTTTTTTCTTTTTATTATGAGATAGGGTTCTTGTAATTAGGAGAGCTTTTTTCAGAATTGGTAGACGTTCTAATTATGAGATATTGTCTCCAATAATTTGTATTTGCTGTACTGTATGCAAATACAGTAGAGAAAAACCACATGTCAGATCAGAAGTAGGGCTGCACGATTTGGGGAAATAATCTAATTGCGATTTTTCTGACAGATATTGCGATTGCGATTCGTGATATTTGTTTTTAAGAGACACAACGGAAGTTTATTGTAAAATGCGGCCACGTCTCCGGCTAGGAAGGTCGCATCAACATGCTCCCGTCTCTAGCACCCCCGCAGCCCGAGCTACGAGTGAAAGAACTAAACTTATATGAAACTTCCGTTGGGTTGCTTTAAAGTCAAGCTTCAGTTTAAGATTCACCCTGTAATAGAAACATGTGATGGAGCAGTACTAACCTGACTCAGATGCTTTGTTTCACCAAACCATCTAGAAAAGCTCCATTGGAAGCCATTTGGAAAGGGCAGGCACTTTCAAAAATACCAACCCAGTCTCACAAAAAAACGTGTAATAACTACGTTGGTCTACAACGTAGGACGTAGTATATCTACAAAAACGCCTCTGAAATTGTAAGATGCCTACGTTTTTTTTCACCATTCATTCCAATGGCTGGCTTCTATGTCACGTGATCTTCAAATTTCTCCCTGCAGAAAAAAGAGCAGCAGGCTGACTGACAGCAGGTTTCCAGCTCTGCTCCCTGCTCCTGCATCTGGTGTTTTATCAACATCAGTTACTGCAGTGAATGACCTGCAAACAGCCATCAGGGCACACACTGCAGGAAGTGGAGCGCACACTTTTCTTACATGACATATACTTACATTGCATGAGTTTTAGTCACACACTAACATTGTTAGTCATTTAAAATACTCTTTTTTAATTATCTGATTTGCTCTTACTCCATGTGTTGATAATTTTCAAATCTTTCTGATTAGAGCTGAACGATTAATAACCTGTTAAGCCCGAGAGACCCCGGTACCGGGGCCCTCCTGCAACATCTTGCAGGAAACAGTATCTGAGGGCATGTTCATTTAATAAACTGAATGTTTTATATCCATGTAATGGGAAGAAACTCATCTAACTGATTATTTAAAAAAATAAAAAAACCCACAATGCTAACGCTGAGCCTCTGAATTAGCAACGAGCTAAAAATGCTAACAGATGACTCCACGGAAATTCACAAAACCTTATTATTTATCTTTGCTGCACATCCAACCCATCGTGAGGTGACACAAAATCGAAGGGTACCCTTCATTATCACTCAATTATACGAACTCGCGGAGGTAATAACAAGAACAGACATCAAAACATATGGCGCTAGGTAGCTAAAAACGCTAACATGGCTCACCTGTGTCGTAGTCTGGTCAAAAGTGGTCTTCAATGGCATTAAAACGATAAAAACGCTGCTGAAGTTAATCCATAGGTTAATCCAATGTGTCTGTGTCCCCTTGAAATGATTTCCGATAATTCATGAGCAATAAACCTGCTTTTCGGTTTTCAGATGTCAGACCTAGAGACAGCTTCACTCTGGTGCAAAACTGTGTGCGCAAAGCCCCCACCTTTTTTGTTTTACCATGTGTGTGAGTGGGGAGTTTCCCCTTCGATTCTATTGGCTCTAATGGCCAGAAAGAGATGACAATCACCAAAATCGACCAATGGGTTCCAGAGAAACGGTAAAACCCCCATTTCCACCCAAATCACCTCAGAGGTGGAGTTTATTTTGCTAAACCTCTCTAAAAAGGTCAAATGTCACTTGTTTTGCATTAATCTTGATACAGGGTACTTATTATATGTTGTACTTTGGATTCCTAAAGCATTTAGTCTACCTTACCCTTATCCAAGGGTAGTTTTCACTATAAGTAAAAAAAAACTATACACACACTATAATTTACAGTTTTTTACTATGTTCAATCTGAATTTTCTTTAAAATAAAAAACATCTATATTGATTCTGACTTTTCTACATCCAACTCACAGGTTTATCATTACTTTGAGAAAAAAGATTATTAATTTAACCCTTTTAGAAGGGAAGATATGGTCATTTGTTCTGAGAATGTCATTTTCGAGCCTGAGACCTGAAAAACAGGCTCAGGGCTAAACTGGTTAAATTATGCAATTATCAAATCGCAAAGCCTGCGATTTTTTTTTGTGTTTTGTTTTTCTTGTCTGTCAGTCATCCACACCAATCAGAAGTGATGTGCTCCACATGTACCAGCCATTGTTAACCAATCAGAAGTGGCCAATGATAGAAGGTGATAGACAGATTGATCCAATCACCTGCCAAGTATTTTCAACCCAGTCTCACAAAAAAACGTGTAATAACTACGTTGGTCCACAACGTAGGACGTAGTATATCTACAAAAACGCCTCTGAAATTGTAAGATGCCTACGTTTTTTTTCACCATTCCTTCCAATGGCTGGCTTCTATGTCACGTGATCTTCAAATTTCTCCCTGCAGAAAAAAAAACATGGCCGACCTTCATTTTATTCTCGGTGTAAAATGCCTATTTTAAGGTTAGTTTGGTCATTAAAATGCGTTTTGATGTCATTTCATGCGAGAAATATGAGTTGTTATTTAAGATTATGTGTGCAGTGGGTGTACATGATCTTTAGTTTGCTAGTTATTACGAAGATTACTTCAGGAAATTGTGTCTATACAACGTTTTCATTGTTACCAAGATGGTTGCTAGGGACGCTGCTATCGATATTATTTCTGTTATGTTGTGTAAAATGGTGTTATCTTTATTGCTACCCCCTTCCCCGTCAATGTATAGTGTTGGTCCACAGTGCAAACGTATTAGTTATTAGCTAGACTTTTATTTAGCATCTCAAAACACATGTAAACAGCTTCATGCCCGGGAGGCGAAGACCGGCAGTCCGGCTCACTAAAATGTCCGTGCAGAACAATACCCATGAAATGGGATGGGACCACGGCAGACTGTCCAAAACTGGATTTGAACGGGTCCACCGTGTCCCCCCCTCCCCCACCCCGTCCCCAGAACTACACATGCTGGCACGTCTCTACTGGGAATTGTAGTTTTAAAAGACGTTTTCATATTTCCCATAATAAGAAGTTGCCAGTATTAAACTGTGTACATCCCTGGAGGACAGAGGGTGTCGTTTTTCTCATACTGATATTCTGAACAATCTGTGCTGTTGTATTTGCTGTAAAGTGTCTCTACTGTAGGTTAATTTTATTATATGTACAGCACTTTGGCTCGACCAAAAATCGTTTATAAATGTGCTATATAAATAAAACTTGATTTGATTTGATTTTGGAGGTTTAGGGGATAGGAAACACTCAAATTAAAAATATATAATTAATAAATGGGTGAAAATTGCTTGTGCCCAATGGGCAGCATTAATATATACCCACACAACAGCTAAGGTCAGAAGAGCTTTATTTAACAGCTGGTCTTATGTCTGTGAACCCTCCTGTTGTTCATTGATAAGCCTGAAACATGCACTTGTCAAGGTTCAGAGGCACATTTTGCAAATCTGGCAGTAGCCATCGATCAGCTTAAGATAAGATATACTTTATTGATCCCAAGTTGGAAACATTTGCGTTACATCAGCATGTGTATAGTTGTACATATGCAGTGGTGTTTATTTGTAAATCATTTAGTATAATCACACAAATTCTGTGTTTTATATTTAATAATTCTCTGTTCTTTATTTATTGATTGTTCAATACCTGACAAGGCCGGAGATGAAAAACTTGGGTCACAGGTTCCTCAACAGTGCATCACAAGACATCTTTCAATATTTGTGTACCTCCACCATTAAATTGTCGTATTCTGCACATTTCTTATACTATCTACATCTTATAAGAGTATAATACATATGTATAATATCAGTTAAAATAAGTGCTTCAACATAGTTAACATTCCTGGAGGTATACACAAAGTTTGACATTCATTGCATAACTACACCATTTGTGAATATGTCAATAAACCTTAGAACATATTGAAAGGGATGTGCAAAATAGTCATTATATACAGTCTTTAATTAACTATTAGTAGAGAATAACGAGTAATGAACATATTTTATAGGGATTCTATTAATGTCTAATAATAAAAATAATGAAATTCAATAACATGCTTTAACCACTAGGTGTCCCTTTATATCAGGTGTGCACCTTTATGGTGTAAATACAGCCTATCTACCAATTGGATCAAATATAAAAGTCAGCCGAATTAGTGTTGATACTGCAAGGAGATGTATTGTGTGAAAATAAATGTAAGATGTTGTTTAATTACTGATATATTTATGATCCATGTCACGTTTCCAGTTCATCATGTTTGTCTCATCAAGGCTCTATAAATAGAGAACTACAGCAGATATGTAACATTTAATGCAGCCGAACCGTGTATT